TACGCTGCTGCCTCGTTAAAAACCTCAGACTAAGAAAAATCCAGTAGGACAAAATTTAGCTAAGAGCATCCTCAATAGTTGGGGATTTTCCCCCAGATTTTTTTGGGCCCCAACATCCACATCATCATCTACTATCTCACTCAATCACAAAATCTCTTCTTCCCATTAGTTTTAAGTTTTTTCACAACTTTTTGTGGACCCATTATTTTACTACTATATTTTAATTATTTATATATTTATCATCATTATAAAAATTATAATTACAATTATTATTTTTATTATATTTAAATTACACATATCCAAATTAAAATAAATTTATAATTATAAATGTTTACAATTGTTAATATTTTTACTACGTAAAAATTTAATAACAATATCCAAAAGACAAAAACTTTAAAAATAATAAAAATAAGTAACAAAAAAAAAAAAAAAAGACTAAGATTGGCCAGCTTAAAAACTACAAAAGACAATTAAATGTCACATGCTTAAAAGAAAACAAAGCTTCAATGAGCGCTCAAGCGAGGTGGTCCCACTGCTCCGTGAATTGCACTGACCTCTTTTCTTCTTTTTTCCTGCAAAATCTCATGTTTTGCAGGAGAAAAGACTCATTTAAATTTAGACCTCCCATTATCTCAAAATCTTGTTCCTAGATTTTCACTATGCCAAAATCCATCTAAAATGTGCTATTGGGGATGCCCTAAGGGAAAAAGAACACAACCATAAGTACAGTCTTTTGGACTATCAGGAGTTGTCTAAATTTTACCGGTCTAGGGATAAGATTTTTAACATGATTGAGAGATCAAATTTCATCGATCTAGCAATCAGATTATTAGTTACGATCGGGAGGTCGAATTAATTGCGATCTAGAGATCCAATTTTACCAATCAAGGGATTGAATTTACTCACGATCTAGAGATCGAATTTACTGTGATCTAGCAACCAAATTTTACAAATCAAGAGATTGGATTTACTCACGATCTAGGGATCGAATTTTACCAATCAAGAAATTGGATTTTTACTGAGATCTAGTAATCAATTTTTACCAATCAAGAGATTAGATTTATTCATGGTCCAAGGACCTCTTATTAATCTTATCAATCATAAGCGGGAGCGCTTCTTCCAATGCCCTTTACTCAGGCTAATCGGTCGTAGTTAGTTTGTGCTTGGTCAAACCCTGACCCAGATTACTTGGTTGTAAGATTGTTCTCAGCCGATCGCGTTTGGTTAGTTTTGATTATTCACATTAATCATTATGATGCGTTCTGAAAACCAAAATCATTTGAACAGGGCGTTTTTCCCTTTTAATGCTCGGTTTACGAACCGAGAGTCCAACTTAAAGTTTGGTTTAGTTGCCGATCTGAATAAGCTTTCTCCTGCCTAAGACCTTACTTGGGGCGGTGTATTAACCGGTGCAATACTTTCGGTTTAAGGGTTTTATCCCTTTGATATGTTCGGTCGTATGGGAAGAAGGTTCTCCTTTTGTGCCCTGTTCGGGCTAGTCACCTAGGGATCATTCTTATGATCTCGAGGTCAATATTTGTGGATGTTTCTCTTCTTATGCCACGTTTGGGCTAGGGGTTTAATGGCCATTTGCTTTTCCCAATCCTACGATAGTGGATGATGACGCTTGTCATTCTAGTTCGGAGACCGTTTTTTTTCCCGATCTTCTGATCATAACGGGGGATGTTTTGCCTCACTGGTCTAAAGACCGTCAATTTCTTGACCTTGCGGTCACTATGGTCCAAGGACCTTCAATTTTCCAACCTTGTGGTTACTATGGTCTAGGGACCATTTGATTTTCCAACCCAGTGGCCATCCTGATCTTGTGGTCATTATGGTCTAGGGACCATTTGATTTTCCGACCTAGCGGTCGTCTTAACCTTGTGGTCATTATGGTCTAGGGACCTTGTGATTTTCCGACCTAGTGGCCGTCTTGACCTTGTGGTCATTATGGTCTAAGGACCATTTGATTTTCCGACCTAGTGGCTGTCTTGACCTTGTGGTCATTATGGTCTAGGTACCATTGTTTTTCCTAACTAGCGACGGTCATGGTCTATGGACCATTGATTTCTTGACCTTGTGGTCATTATGGTCTAGGGGCCATTGATTTTCCGACCTAACGGCCAGTATGGTCTAGGAACCACTATGATCTAGTGATCAAATTTATCAATCAAGAGATTGAATTTATTCACGATCTAGGGATCGAATTTACCAATCAAGAGATTGGATTTTCTCACGATCTAGGGATCGAATTTACTATGATCTAGCCATCAAATTTACCCGTGGTGGGAGGACCAACCTGACCGGGTTTAATAGCCTACTTTGTATTAGATGGCATGAAATAATTGCTATATTGAGTATCTTCTTGCTAAGTAATTGAGAAACGATAGAGAGAAATTGACCTTTTTTTAGCTTTTGCTATTGAGTGTTGTTTAAGAAGAAGGAAAATGCCCCTTGTTGTGTGTGTGGCCTCCCCCTTATATAGGTGGAGGCCTGACGCTAATCTGGACACTTGACCTTGACCCGAATACCAAACAGGAGCATAAAACATATAGGGAGGTTTACACGGCCTATAAGATATATTAAAATATAATATATGTAAAATATAATTTGAGAGGAGAAAAAGAATTGAAACCAAAGGAAGATTTATAATGTTTATTACTTCTCAATATGAAATGCCTAGAAGTACATGCTATTTATAGTAGAAGAAAGACCTATGTTTATTACTTCTCAATATGAAATGTCTAGTAGTAAATGGTATTTATAGTAGAAAAAAAATTAGAATTGTGCCAACTCATTAATCACTACCCCAATAAGATATTAACCAATACTCGCTAACACATTAACCATTACTCCATTAACAACCATCTCAGTCACCCGCTTCATATACCACCACCACTACTCTATTAAAAAATTTTATTATTATTTTTCCTTATAGACTTAGTTTAATAATAATATTATAACATCAAATAATTAATTTCATTCTCGATCCATCCAATATAATAAAACTTTTGCCTTTAATCTCTACTCATTAATTTTATTCTTTTTCATCACCATTTAGTATCACTGGGAGACTAATATATATATATATATATATGAATATAACTTGGGTCACGTCTGAATCTCTATAGCACATTACTCACCCGTTTGCTCTTGAAAACACCACTTCCTATTTGACTTCTATAAGTGAAGCATATGCTACTAGCGTTCATCATATCCTATGCTTCTATCCATACGCTTCATATTCACTCGGATTTCACTACCATAAATATAACCATCCTTGCTCTCTTGTGTCATTCCTATGAGCCTCTTATTCATTTATTAATATCTTTATCATTACGAGACTAATTTGTATTTGACTTGAGTCACATATGAAGCTCTTTAGCATGTTACTCAGATATTGGCTTTTGGAAACACCACTTCCCATTCGACATGAATTGATGACTTCCACCACGCTACCACTTCCCATTCGACTTGAATTGATGACTTCCACCACGCAAAGGTGACACTGAGTTATAATGCCATTATCACTATTTTGAACAACTTGGAAAATGTGGCATTCTTGTGGGCAACCCCAATCAAATTGATAGGACAGTTAGCTTGGTCATCACGATTGGAAAATTCTAGCCTGATACCAGATTGGAAAAGGAATTTCGTTAACAATCGTAACAACAGGATTACAGAGTATATCTAAGTCTAACTAATCCTATCAAATAGCTAAACTAATTAAGTCAAGCTATCTAAGCCACATAATATAAACATATAAAAGAAATAATAATAATAACTTATACTAACAATCACAAGGTTCCACTCGTGTAGAGGCGTGTTTATTGGTATTCTTGGTTTGAGCTAGTCAGCTATCGGTAATTTTGATTGTTTCATTTTCGTGTGGTCCTTTGTCAACTACGGTTACAAGGTGAGCTTCGCCTAAAATGTAAATTCAAAGAGCGGTTGTGACCTTTCCTGTAAATCATAAAAACGTGACTTTCTTTTTACACATTTTTACGTTAACAGTTCACTTATCAATAAACTAATAAAATGTGAAAAGAAATTTAAATAAGATATATATATATATATATATATATATATATATATATATATATATATATATATATATATATATATATATATGAAAGATGCCTAACGACCGAATGCTAACCAACATGCATGAATGTTTAATAATTGTATAGGTCTCACAGACTTGGATTCATGGCATAAATAATTCAAATTAGGTGAATAGATTCAGATTTTAGGTTAAGTATGGATGCATACGTACACTTAGAAAACATGTTTTGTTGGTCGCTTGTGACCGTCATGCCCAACCTGTCGGGTGATTTTAGTTAATAATTCATTATATATATATATATATATATATATATATATATATATATATATATAAATAGTGAAAGGTTCCCGCGCCATTTTCCGACCACCGAAAAGTGGTCGGAAATAGCCTTAATTAGGTCGGAAACGCCTGTTCCGACCTCTTTTCCGACCAATTTGGGTATTCGAAAAAATTCCCCTAGCTATTTCCAACCACCAGAGAGAGTGGTCGGAAAGAGTAACCACTTTTCTAAGGTCGTCGGAAAAAATGGCCAAGAGAATAGTTAGACCGGTCTAGATTTTCCGACCACCTGTGGTCGAAAATTTCGACCACTTTGGTGGTCGGAAAACTAGACGCAGTCAATAAAAAAATTCATTTCATTACAGAGGAATCCTCTGTAATGAAATATATATATATATATATATATATATATATATATATATATATATATATATATATATATATATATTGTTGCAAGCTGGTAAGATATTGGCTGAAAAACATAAAATACACATTTCATATGCTTGAAGAGAATTCATTCATCCATATACAGTTGAAAATTTAAAACAAGTCAAAATATGGCATTTCTATTACTCTTAATTCTAAATGTATAAACAGGAAAGACACAAGTTCCCAGGACACATTTGTAGTATGGAAGCAGCCTGTTCCATCATCCGTGTTTCCATTGTCCTTCTGCAAATTAGGCATTTTCACTATTAGGCAGCTGAAAGAAGCAAACACATATAAACAAAGCTTTATCATGTTTCATCTCAGATTTTGAATTGCACTCTATTTTTAAATATCTAACCAGGGATGGTTAGAGCTCTCTTAAATGGAGCAATGCAGTTCAACATCATTGCCTCATTTGTTAAACACGTGGAATCAACCAACTCATTGCCTCATTTGTTATACACCAGAAGATCATATTAGACCAGATATTATTGTAAATCTAAAATCTTCCATCATATAAATATACAATAATTCAACAACATAAATATGGAATGATAATCTACCGATCGAATTCTTAATTATTGACAGACTAATACCTGATGAAGAAACATCTGATCCATAAAGCAGATCATCATCATAATCCCTGATGGCTTCCTTACGGGAAGGGCTAATGCAAGGAAAACAACTCATCATATGTTCAAGCTTTAATTTAGTTTCTCTTTTTCTTTCTTTCACTGAATTATTAGAAGCACTCATAATTTTCAGAAAGCACAATTATATTTAATAATACTTTTAAAAGTATAACATTATATATATATATATATATATATATATATATATATATATATATATATATATATATATATATATATCACCACCCCAACTCGATCAGTAATTCATATAGCAATCAAGGTTACATCTATACAACATAACAATGTTCAGTTTTCTATCAATCCCTTAAATAAGTTTAGATAATCAAGGATTAAAACATGAAGGTCTAGAAACAACATTTTCCTCGTCAACATTAGGGGAATCAGTACCATCAGCAACAAGAATTTCATTAACCTATGGGGTTGGTAGCTGCATTTGAGGTGTTGATGCCAAACCATTATCTGAATATCACATCCAGAGAATACCAAAAGATCAAACAAAGCAAAGAGAACAATTACCTTACTTGAAAGTTGATCTTATCCCAGAAACACTAAGAATTATGGCCATTGCAGAATCTTATGAAAGCAGACATTACACAAACAAAATTACCATTCGATAACTCATGAAAAATGTAGCATGAAAGATTCCAACACTTGAAAGGAATGAATACCAAGAGATCAGATAGGTAAAAAGCAGCATATATATACTTACCATGATGACTGTCTGAACTACCATGATTTGGTGATGAATTAGATGCTAACTCTTGATTTGGTGATGAATTGATTCTGAAACTCTAAATGTCAATTAAAATCTGAAATACAAAGAAAAAGAAAAACAAAATTGAAAGAAACCACTGACCTGGTTTCATTCTTGGATCTTTGAATGAAAAACGGGTAAACCCATCAGGGAAACCACTCTGCTTTTGCATATAAGGCTGCTATAGGATGAACCATAATGGTACTATTGAACCATAATACTAACAAAATGGGGCAAAAGAAATAAGATGATTACTTTATGGATCATTTATAGCAAGATAAAACTCACATCAGATCCACATTGAGTCGAATCCAGAACACAAAAACTGAACTAAGAATTCACTTTTACCAAAAAATGAAAAAAAAATCAGAATACCAAACAGAGTGAGAAGGTAAATTAATAACTACCATATGCATTGTTTGATGTTGCAGCAGCAGGAGAAACGAGATAGAATCAATTTATGTATCAATAATCTGCAAATTATTGAAAAAGAGTATAGCTAGGCCAACAAAACAAGATATAATGAGAATAAGAAGAAAGTGTTTATATAGATACCTTCAAAACAAGCAGCAGCTTAGAGGCATCCCTCCTAAGTCCTAATTCCACGGACGGGGGAGCTGGGCATCTCTAAATGCTGGTGTACTGCCTGATGCAGCTGGAGAGGGAGGGGAGGCAACATAATTTGTCCCTGATGTGGAAACTGCGGGGTGGATTTGAAGGGAGTCCTTGTTGCACAGTGCATGCAAAACGTGATGGGCTACCTGTTACCCCCATAGTAGTTCGTGAAGAGAATGGGACCTGTTCCAAAGAAGACCACTGAATGGAGATAAATAACTGTTGTCTATCAGACCAGTCAAGTGCATCACACTAATTAACTAACAGTTTGAGGTCACATTAAGAAAAGAAAAATGTTGAGCAACTGACTCTGAGAATGTAATAAGAAAAATCAAATGCCTCCAAAATTGAAACCTAGCAACAATATCAGGAAAGTCTAAAAGCAAGATTTCATAATGCCTCCATGTTGAAGATGAGTAAATTTGAATATCCTCCATGCACCCCCACCCCCCCCCCCACCCCCACCCCCTTTTCTTTGTCTCTTTGATGCAAAAACTCAGATCTTGATATGTAAACAAAATTCATATATGCATTGTCCTTTTGCACTTTCAACCATGAATATTTTGAAATAATCCTCAGAGATTGTAATGACCAATTAATCCCCCTATTTCATGCTTAGTGCTTAAAGACAAGAAAAGTAAACAGTTAAGTCCTCTTTTAAAAGTGGACTTACTGTATTATGCACAGGTTTTCTATGTTGAGAGTCTGAAGTTGGTGATGTGCTGTTCATACGAAGCAAGTTGCGGGAATGCACATTCTGGTTGGAAACATCATCACCTATGCCTCCTTCAACTTCAGTGCTGAGTCCATCTGACCCAATTCTAGGTGTGTTAAGTCTAAAACATATTCATCATCTACATATTCCTAAAGTATAAACTACAAACACATCTTAACTGTTAAAAGTAAAATCCACTCTAGAACATATTCATCATCTACATTTTTATAGCATATATATAATCCTCATCTTTTTATAGCAAAATGTATGTATCAGTACAAATAGAAAGTCATACATACTGTTTTCCGGATTCTCTATCGTAGATAGCCTGCCTGAATGCTTGATAGATCTGAAGCTAAGAAGATACTTTCCCCAATTAGAAGTGAAGGCTAATGCCCTAATTATTTTGAATCAGAGAGCTTCGTTCTTTTATATCTCCCTGATTATATTAAAAATAACTAAAAATTATATATTATAAATAAAGAACCCTAACCATTATGTCGTTGATCAAGGAGGAGGAGGCGCCGTCGATCGAGGAGAAGAGCAAGGGAGGAGAAGGCATATCCTTCGAGGAAAAAAACTGGAGAGGAGAAGGTTGAAATCTGCGATTGAGGAGAACAGGTAAGGAGGAGAAGGTTGAAATATGCGATTGAGAAGAAGTGGTAAGGAGGAGAAGGTTGAAATCTGCGATGAGAAGAAGGTTTAGATCGTCCTGCGATCTAGGGTATGATGAGGACAACCAAAGGCTCAAAGATCAACATACAAATAAGAGAAGTCACAATTATAAGTTCAAAAGCTAAGAAATTGTGACGGGTTGTAAATGGATTAATCCATGCAATTTGCCAAAAATAAGTGAGGAATTAATCTTTTTTTTGAATGCAAGTGAGGAATTAATCTAAATGGTCCAAATTTTCGTGGCTGCATTGGGACAATTCAAATGAAGCTAAACTCAATCCATTAAGGCAAATAAATTCTCATTTAGTATAGTTTTAATATTATTCATGTGCTATATTTAATTTATTTTAGGTTACATGTCTAGGATGAATGAATACCATTCATTGCCTTGTAATGGAGTCTTTTGATCTCCTTGAGAGTTATGTATTAGCCTATTTAAAGGCTAAGAACAATCAGAATTTGAAAGATAGAGATGAATGAAGTTGAATGAAAGAAATGCTTAGGCATTTTGTTGTCTCTCTTGTGTGTTGAGAGATGTTATTCTAGGCTTATCAAGATAATACCAATCTTGTGGTGCCATCCATTCCTTATCACCTAGGACCAAGGTGTGGCGGAAATATCTTTATAGAAAAACACAAAAATAATCCCCCAAACCAACCCCTACATCAACCAATTCCATCTCCAACACCCTCAAACCGTAATTGTTGTTTCTGCTGTTTTGGTGAGGAAAAGATCGGGCAACCGGAGGAATCTTTGGTGAATCGAATCTTGAGTTCATCCCCCAAAGATCCACATCAGTTTGGTATCAGAGCTTTGGGTTCATTCCTCACTCAAAAAAATGTTAATACTCTACCAATCACTTCTCCTTTCATTTGTTTCTGCAGAAAATTTTCAGCGTGCGTCTTAAGAAAGAAAAATTTCAAAAAACTACTTCTACATATCCAATTGTGTTGAAATTTTTTCTGGAAGTACCTAACCTATCACTCTATTGCTTCATGAAATTTTTGTGCAAAAATCATATTCCAAGAAACACAGAAAAATCGCTGAGTTCAACACAACCGTAAGATTCTGCCCAGAAATTTTCTTCCTGTCCAGTCCAGAAGAAAATTTTGGAAAAAATACTTCCACATATCTTTTTTCCCTGAAAATTTTTATGGTTGAATAAAACCCATAGTTCTTGCTAACCATAAAAAAATTTGGTTCAAAATATCATCCATAACATTCCAGAAAATTCATCAAAGTCATTCTTAAAATCTGTCCAGATTTGTGTTGTCATCCCTTGTGTTTTCTAGTTATTGTTCATTGTTTCACATCATCCATGGAGTCTTTTGAGTTAAATACAATTAAACAAGGATCACTTAGTGTGGAAGAATTCTACAACAAGTTAAGAGATTTGATGATCCGAGATGAGGTGATTGAACCAACTGCAATTACCAAGAACAGATTTGTGTATGGTGTTAGAAAGGAGATTGCACGATTACTTCCTCAAGGGTGCAAGTGTTTGTTTACTTTACTATACCATGCCAAAATAATTGAAGAAAAATTGCAGCAAGAAGAGGTCAAGAATTTGACATCTATTTCCTTGTCATATGATGAGAGCTCAAAAGAAATGAGTGACAATGTAAAAATAAGTGAAGAAGAATGTGAAAACAAAGATGAGAAATATTTGGGTGAAAAAGAAGGAGAGATTGAGAAAAAAACTGAACATGAGGAAGAAGAATTGCCTTTTGAACTTTGTGAGAAAAAGAATGAGGGAGAAGATTTTGAGAACTCCATAACCTTTATTTTAAGTTCTTTGCAGGTTAATGGATGTGATTCAAGGGTTGTAAATCATTTGGAAGGAATGGTATTGTTATGCCATGATCTACAAAGCGCGGGATCACACACTCTCCTTGGTGAAGGTATTAAAGTCATATGGTCGGAAAATTACTCATTTCCATTTGACCGAGGAAAGTGTGATTCGAGGACGAATCTTCTCGAAGAGTGATGGAATGATGAGGACACGACCCAAATAAATTAAAATATCACTATGCCGGTTCAAAAATATAAAGAAGAAGGTCCTAGAAGGCTCATTGAACCTAATCATCATTGAAATGAAGTCATATAATTAAAATGTAGTTATTTTAGTTAATTAAAATGCATTTATGTTAAATTTAATTAGTGACCTTTTGTTTTCATTTAGACCTTGAGAACCAAATAATCTTTGTTTCAAGTTTATTGCATGTTCATTAATGTAATTCAAGGATTGAGAATAGGTTTGGAAGCATGACAAAGGGACATCAAAAGTTAAATGCATTTGTGGTAATGTTGTGCCAAGTTCAAGGAAACATGGGATCACTCACTTTCATTGATGCAGACATACAATTCACACGTTGGGAAATTTACTCATTTCCATTTGACCGAGGCAAGTTTGATTCGAGGACGAATCTTCTCAAAGAGTGAGGGAATGATGAGGACAACCAAAGGCTCAAAGATCAACATACAAATAAGAGAAGTCACAATTACAAGTTCAAAAGCTAAGAAATTGCGACGGGTTGTAAATGGATTAATCCATGCAATTTGCCAAAAATAAGTGAGGAATTAATCTAAATGGTCCAAATTTTCGTGGCTGCATTGGGACAATTCAAATGAAGCTAAACTCAATCCATTAAGGCAAATAAATTCTCATTTAGTATAGTTTTAATATTATTCATGTGCTATATTTAATTTATTTTAGGTTACATGTCTAGGATGAATGAATACCATTCATTGCCTTGTAATGGAGTCTTTTGATCTCCTTGAGAGTTATGTATTAGCCTATTTAAAGGCTAAGAACAATCAGAATTTGAAAGATAGAGATGAATGAAGTTGAATGAAAGAAATGCTTAGGCATTTTGTTGTCTCTCTTGTGTGTTGAGAGATGTTATTCTAGGCTTATCAAGATAATACCAATCTTGTGGTGCCATCCATTCCTTATCACCTAGGACCAAGGTGTGGCGGAAATATCTTTATAGAAAAACACAAAAATAATCCCCCAAACCAACCCCTACATCAACCAATTCCATCTCCAACACCCTCAAACCGTAATTGTTGTTCCTGCTGTTTTGGTGAGGAAAAGATCGGGCAACCGGAGGAATCTTTGGTGAATCGAATCTTGAGTTCATCCCCCAAAGATCCACATCAGGGTAGCTGCGCAATAGTTAGAAAAATATATATAATGGATTTTTCTTTTCCGAAGAGTATATAATGGATTTATATACTGGCCAGCCTGTTTGCGATTTGAAAAAAAAAAAAAAAAAAAAAAACTTTCGACCAATGTATTTGGTGGTCGAAAAATGAGATTAATTTAAAAATTTAGCGAATTTTTTCGGGCCATGTCGAAATTACCGACCACTTAATAAAAGTGGTCGGAAATTCCGATCACTTTCCGAGTACCATAACACTCGGACGGAAAAACAAAAAAAAGTCAATTTTTGCGATCAAATTTTTAGGTGGTCGAAAAAGAGGTCGGAAAAATGATAATTTCCAGCAGTGGTTATTAATGTGTGTGAGATTTGTACTCAATGTGCGTGAGTATTGTGTTTAATGTGCCTGAGATTTGTACTTAATGTGCGTGAATGTGTAAAATGCAGCAGAAAATATGGTTATCAGCTTCTTCCCCATCCCCAGCACTGCTTCCCAAAGTGAATAGTGTGTTGCTCTACTTTACTAATGTTTAGAATGAAATAAAAGCTTCCCAAAGTGAATACACAAATTCTATCCTTATCAATGGTCTATGCAGACCGATCTTGGTGCGAGAATCTGGAACTTCTGTTGTTTGCTTCAATTCCATCATGTCAGATTTGTTTATTTATTTATTTATTAATTGATTTTTTCTGCTATGGTGAAGGTGAGTATGGAGGACATAGAAAAACTAGTGGAAAGAAACATAGAATTTTGATCTACTGGTGATTGGTCTGCAAGAGGTTCCTCGGATTAATGTTTCCAGATTGTTGAAAATTATCTTATTACTCACGCACATTAAGCACAAATCTCACGCATATTAAGCACAATACTTTGGCACATTAAGTACAAAACTCACGCATATTAACATGACGCACATTAAGTACAAATCTCAAGCATATTGAGCATAACACTCACGCACATTAAGTATAAACCTCACGCACATTAATCCACCGCACAACCGCACGGGAAGCAACAAATGCACCTGATCCCTTCCCTATATATATATATATATATATATATATATATATATATATATATATATATATATATATATATATATATATATATATATATATATATATATATATATATATATATATATATATGGTTGCATTCACATGCAAACAGCTTTAGAATACAAGCATGTGGACATATACCGTGCACACACCTAAATGCGGGCGTGCACACATTTGTAGACGACAGTGCACACACCTAAATGTGGGTGTGCGCACATCCGTAGTATGTGTGTGTGAATCCAGTGTTTGGGCCAGTGTGCACACGTCCATGAATGACAGTGCACACAGGCGGACACATCACACAAAAACATAAAAACTAATCACAACCTTAGATATCCAAAATTCAACGATCCAAAAATGTCCACACGTTTGCATTTTAAGCCCTGTTTTTACATGAATGTAATTCTATATATATATATATATATATATATATATATATATATATATATATATATATATATTAGTCCCTATAATTATATTACGATCCATTTTGTTCTTCATAAAGTACTATGTAATTTTTTTTTTTTTTTTTTTTTTGAAAGGAGTACTAAGTAGCATATGTTCTATACTTTCTCTATTTATTGCAGTCCAAAAGAGTCAAGACCCCACCACTCAGATTCAATCTTGTGACATTCCCTCAAAGAGAACCACATGTGCCATTATATTTATTCACTATAGAGTAAATTTGTTTTGTTTCATAAAATTGTGAATACCTTTTCAATTGGTAAGTATTTTTTAAATTGGTATTATTTTTCTGTGACAAA